AATGTCTCTTTTTATTTTTCTGACTGCAGAATTTTGTTTTAGATTGAACAGATGTATAGATAAAGTAAACATTTAATCAAATCTTTATCTGAGTCATTATTTGGTGAATTTTGATAGTTAGGGTCCTTTTAAGATGAATTTTTCTACTTTCCACTGCTACAACTTTGACTTAGACCGAAAATGATGTTAATGTGTTCTTTCAGAGCAGATCTTGAAATTGTAAAATATTTCTTCATCAAACTTGATACATTAATAGGTCTTGTGTTGAACTAGTGCCTTTTGATATGTTTTGAGTTCCCATAGCAACATGTGTCCTATATCTATTCATGACAATAATTTACCATTGTTGGGGATATTGATGACTTCTTCACCTTATTTGCTATTGTATTGACAGTTCACTGATACATGGAACATATAACGGGATGCATGGTGGCACACCTTATTTGAAGTGATGTGTGGAATGTTGTTCCGATAGCTGATATCAGAGACTTTTTCGTCTATTTTAGATTCTGTGATAAATAAATTACCTCGAATGAGGGAACTGATGAAAGATTCTTAATGAACTAAGGGACATGTTTTCATTCATTGTTTCAGTTCTTTCTTTATCAATAACTGGCTGATTTGAATGAGAACAAAGGTTGTTACTGGCCCATGAAGTAGCCAAAGAATGTTTGAAACCTGGCACAAGCTGCGTCATACTGGCATAATATATACAAAACACAGCACATAATAACATGATAGCCGTGTGTAATTTAGATTTAATTCCTGTGTTTGTTTCATTATCAGATTATCATTACTATAGAATGTCTGAACAGTGATTAATCCTTGTTTTCTGACAGAATGACCTTTGATATAAATTGATTTGTTATGAGACATTCCATAATTGATTACATTAGGAGGTGAATGTCTGTTGTAGTGTTTAGTCTTACTTATCCCATGTATGTGTTCCTAAGCTTATGTGCTAAGGAGCTTAAGGAGTTTATCTATTGGCAGTGAGTGAGTTTAGGTTTACACAGCACTCAGCAATATTGCATCTATATGACAGCAGTCTGTTAATAATTGAGTCTGGACCAGACAATCCAGTGATCAACAGCATGAGCATCGATCTGCGCAATTGGGAACCGATGACATGTGTCAACCAAGTCAGCGAGCCTGACCACCCGATCCCGTTAGTCGCCTCTTACGACAAACATGGGTTACTGAAGGCCAATATTCTAACCCGGACCTTCACGGGTAATCTATTGGCAGTGTTTGAAGTCAAGAGTGTTTGTTGCTTAATGCTCCACAGGGCAATATTTCAGTTTTATCTAGTCAGCTTGTAAGTAATGGAGTCTGGGTCAGACAATCAGTAGACAGATATTTTGACCTTGGTATCAAGCAAGGCACTGAGCCTGGCCACCAATCATTCAGTCACTGATTACAGTGGACCAGGTCTATCCTGAATACCTGGCTGGTTCCTCTTATGATGTGCAAAGTAGGGCTAGTGAAGCATACTTTCCTGTGTCCCCACCAGGTTGAGATCGTGGTGGATCCTCGGGAGCTTTCAGCTTGTTTTGGTTTAATGCCACACTCTGCAATATTCCATCTATATGACAGCAGTCTGTAGATAATCAAATCTGGACCAGACAATCCAGTGATTGACATCAAGAGCTTCAATCTACGTGATTAGGATGTAATGACTTGCATCAACCAAGTCTGAGCCTGAATGCCCATGTTTACAATCTACATGGGTTGCTGAAGATAAATCCAAACCAACCCATCCATGTCATAAAAGGCGAATAATGGGTTCTGGGAGAGCTTTCAAGGTTTGACTGACTGACTGAGTTTAGTTTTACGCCGCTTTTAGCAATATTCCAGCAATATCACGGCAGGGGACACCAGAAGTAGGCTTCACACATTGTGCCCATGTGGGGAATCGAACCCGGGTCTTCAGCGTGACGAGCCAACACTTTAACCACTAGGCTAACCCACAGCCCCTTCAAGGTTTGAAGATACAGGAAATGAATCTATGGACTCATATCTTTGATTTTTATGATAAAACTTTTGGGGGATTGTGGTAGATATCAGGGGACTTTTTGTCGACATGCATTGCCTCTAACAGCCAGGGAGCTATGTCCTTGATCTTTGAATTAATGTAGTTTTTGTGCTTCTCAACACACTGTAGTGAGAAGGCATGTTGACAACCAAGCTAAGCTTTACCAGCCTTCACTGAACATGGGGACCGGGGACCTGTTCCACACAGTAGTCTTTGTGCAAAGATGATTGCAGCTCATGCTTCAACATAGATTTTCGATTTCAAGATAGCTTTGTTGAACAGGGACCAGGCCTTGTGAAGTAAAATGACAGGGCAACTCATAGTTTCTGACTTTCATCTCAAGTGGCCAACAAAACGTTTGTGGTCATATTTTGAGGCTGTGGATAAGATTGCAATGGGAGCCAGGGAAAAGAGAACTTGATTTAATTTAGACCTTTGATCACTGTGGCCACCATGTTTCTTGAAACAGTCTTCATTCATTTGTGACAGCTTGAATCATAAGATGGGCAGGATGTGCTTGAGCATGTGTTGACATGTGAGATGTGTTGATAAATGCGTAGTTTTAGTTAACAAATTTCCCAGTCCATGACTTGTTACATTCTTGAAGGACTGATGACGTTTTGCTGTGAACTTAGGTAGAAGGTGAACTAAGTACTGCTAAAACTCAGGTAGAAGACATCTGCATCAGATACTACAGTGAATAGAGAAATTAATTGCTAGCTGATTGCATGCATGTGTGGGTTCAATAATGACGGACATATCTGATAATTTGTGCCCTGTAGTACATGTGACAGGTGATTTTGTAATTCTTGTGACAAGCATGTGTGTTGAGTCAGGCATGTTAAGGTCTTCTTTGCCTCTGAAATTAACAGGTCATCATGACACGTAGACAAGGGAACTGGTTTCATCAGTCATGTCAGGTGCTTTACAGGCTCATGTACAAAAATCACTCTGTCTCATACATACTCCTTGGTATATAATTATGTATGAACAGTCAGCCTAGATTATATCACAGGGATTTATCTACGAGTTTACACTAATTGCATTGGTTGTCAAGAATGTTCTTTTGTTCAAAATTGGGATGTTATGAAATTCTTTTTTTCAAAGTATTATAACATTATATTCAACACAAAAATGTGAAAGTATAGTCTGTTTGCAGTGAAAACATACCGATGAATTTCACTTTAAACAAAAAACTTAAATCAAATAAAGTGAAATTAAGGTTGCTAATCCTCATAATTTTACCTTGCCAATTGAACATTTAAATCTCAGAATTTTATTCAACTTCGGATAAAAGTTGTTTAACAAACGATCATAGATTCAAATCGCTATTATTGGTTTGTATTACAAGGGGGTATGCACATTATATGAAACACTGAGACCAAGTAGGGTTGGTCTAAGTTAACGCTCATCACGTACAGCACATGCATTTGTTTAACAGTTCCTACTACTGTGCTTATATAAACCTGTTCTTCTTTACTGTTTTCTGTTCTCACTTGGACATTTTGTACTGAAGCTTGTTGCAGGTTTGGGGTTGAATATCAGCCTCAGAGCTGGCTACAATGGGTGAGGCCTATTTCAGACATTTTCTGCTATTGCTGGGGTAAAGTGGCAAAAAAGCATACTCACTCACTACTTGACTCGACAGATACTGGAAGTAGGCTTGTGATGGAAATCTCAAACTGAAAACCATTGGAGCCTGGGATTCGCCCTCATACCATTATACAACCTTCATGTATTCATGCTTGGCTAAGCTGTATTTACAGGTTATTTTCCTCTATACATAAAACATGCCACAACATTCGAGCTGATGGAAATGAAATATTACCCAGTAGTCGTTACATTCAGCTTCATGTGAATCAGTCACAAGAATTATCTGCAATGATGCAATGCAGACCTCTAGGAAATTAAAACAGATCACAGGTTTGTCTTGCTACTCTTAGATCTACTCTTATTGTGCTGTAACAGAACTCGATCGACGGCTGACAATAAATATTGATCATGTTTGGTGTTACATACAGATTGTTACTTGACATGCATGCTAGTGAAGCTACCTCGGCTATGATAGGTTATGAATAACAATAAAGTAGTTTGTGTACTCCTATTTGCATCTCTGGATGAGGCCAGCCAGGATCGGGAGAGATGGTCACTAGGACTTTGTACATACGATGAAGGATCAATAAGCTGAATCGTATGTCATGGCAACGCCATCGTTCTCCTTGAGAATGTTAGAAAGTTAGGTCTTGTATGTTAAGAGTTCTTAAGAACTTTCAGTAGAAAATCTTTCAATACTCTTAATGGGTAAAAGGATACCTTGAAAGCATTTCTTTTTTTCCATCTCGGCAATACTGGTGGTATGTTTCCCATGAACATAGATGAAGCTTAGAAATGCTGTTTCCCCAACAACAGTCAGAATAGGATCTTAAAGCTGCTTTTAGAGAAGATGACTTGACATTCAAGCTTTAAAATTGATTAAGTGATGTGCAGGGAAATCTATGTAAATAGAACGTGGAATGTCTTTGTGATGAATGTTTTAGATTTTAGGTAATTAGATACCTCTGATATGAAAGTTGTGGACCGACTTGATGCTTTAAGTAGGGAATTTCATTGCAGTGCTTGTAGGTAACAGAATACCATTGATGGTATATTTTTTAGAAGCAATTGTAAGTCGTTACATTCATGTAAGGAACTGCGTTCAGCTAGAAGCAAATGTCTGATCTTGGATGCTGCAGTTTGTTGAACAGCACATGTTCACACCCAGTTAACAGAACTCTGATCGCTGGGAAATGGGGGCTGGTCCTGGAAGCTAGAGTGCCATGGTTTAAGTTTGCAGACCTGATTGCCAGAAATATGTGTCATATTCACTTTTACAAAAGTCTTGATTGATGAAATTTAAGATCTCAACTTCTAAGCTGCTGTGCATTATACAGTCAAATATTGTTGTGTCAAAGTTGTAAGAACCTTAGTAACATATGTACTGAACCTTATCTTAGGTTCGATGTGTCTGCAAATGATGATTAACAAGGAAGACACAGGTCCCAAACCTTTACTTTGAGACAACTGGAAGTTAGACACATCAGAGTTCAACACAACATTGTCTGACTGTATCAAGAACCTAGACTCCTGAACTTTATTTTCAGCAAGCTGCTAAGTCACATACACTTTGTTTTTACTGAGCACTAAATGTCTTCTCTTTTTTCCAGGGAATTCTGCTGGTATATGACATAACAAACAGGTGGTCATTTGATGGCATAGACAGATGGATCAAGGAAATCAACGAGGTAATAGATTGCTCTAAAAACTCCTGCTGTTGAATTACATCTACTTGTCGGCAGGATGTTCAAGCTATTTCTGAAGTTTTGGCAGAGAAAACAGTTGTATTTTTTGTCCATAAAGCTAACAAGTGTCTCGAAACAGCCAGAGGAAAGTTTCAAAACCCTCTGAAAATAACATAAAATGGTTCAAAGAAAATCTTGAAACAGTACAGGAATTGCAATGTTTGACTTAAGGCACTAATCCAGAGCCTGATGTCAACTAAAATCTAGTTAACCTTGTGTTCATGTTTGTAAACATCACTAAGATGCACTGTAATTGATGCTGTGAAAAGTTAATGATTTACAGGCGTGTAGACTGATAGTGTTGGCACACTTGGTGCTGTTTATAATCAATTGTTATTCAATTTGCCATAAGTACAAACATGGGATTCTGAAGCAGGGTGTCTCAGTAGTGGACACTTGTTGCAGAAAGTCAGTCATGAAACAGTGGTGAGAGTCAGCCTGTCCACAGTTCTCAGTTGTATGGTCTGGGGGTTAACACATTTGGTCATTTGACACATGAAGATCAGGGTTACAATTGGCCTTCAGCAACCCATGCTTGTACTGGGATCGGGTGGTCAGGCTCACACACTTGGTTGACACGTGTCATTGTATCCCAGTTGTGTAGGTTGATGCTCATGCTGTTGATCACTGGATTGTCTGGTCCAGACTTGATTATTTACAGACCACCGTCATATAGCTGCAAATTGCTGAGTGCGGTGTTAACCAACCAACAAATATTTCGCCATTATACCCAGAACTGACTTAACCTCATGGGTGTAACCAATTTGTCTTGTCAAGACTACATTATTTACATGCTGCCTTCACATAGCTGGGGTATTGATTTGAGTTGATTTATTAAAAAGACATGGCAGGTATGTATGTAGACACAAGTCATACAGTACCTGCTGGCTGGCCTACTGAAGACTACAGATGGCGTATTTAGCCTGTATCTGTGTATGGTGGCGTTGAAATAGTAAACTTGATGGTTGTATTTTCACATTTAACATGTTTAATGTAAGCAGGATGCAAGATGTTGTAAGTTGAGATGGATATATATTGGCACAATAACCTTATTACGACCATGCACATTTCATGATTAGAGACAATAAATAGTTAGTTATATAGAAACATCAACTGCATAAAGCATAACGATTAAGATAGTATTAAGTTAGAATAATGGGAACTCTTCATCTGTAACAGCAAGTAATTATTTCGTTTTTGGACCTCTTGCATGTTCTTGTGGATGGAGTATCTTTCTGGAGATTCTGGGGGTCAGTTCCTGGCTGCAAAAGCTATACCAAAAGCTATATGCTTGTTGTTACCCTGTCTGATGCTTGGCATTAAGGGAGGTTGGCACAGGGTGATTGTTCTGAGTCTGAGTGGGGTATCCATGTTATACACAGCATGATATCTCAATGGGTTGTCACTATAATACCAGCAGAAGTCTCAGGGGTGGAAATAACCCATTGCCCGATGCCCGAGTCCAGTGTTTTTTTCTGTCGGGCAAGCAAATTTGTATATCACACTGTACGGTGTCCACTTGATATTCCAATGTTAATTATGTTGTTTATTTAAAAAATCAACAAGAAAACAGCCAGTATAGTGGAAAAATTATCTGGGCAAGTGATTTTACATGTGCCACTGTACCAGAGTACACTAGCAATTTTAAAGTTATTTCCACCCCTGGGTCTGGACTAACACATATCTACCCATGAATGCACGTCACTATAGAAGTGCAATATTTAACTAGACATTAAACCCAATTCCAGCTCATCCGTTAAGTTGCTGAACATGTTCAATTAACTCTAATCCCTACATTGCAGCATGCACCGGGTGTACCGAAGATCCTGGTCGGAAATCGTCTTCATCTCGCCTTCAAACGTCAGATCAGTGAAGCTACGGCAGAGGCTTATGCTATTAAGAATGACATGGCTTTCTTTGAAGTCAGCCCACTGTGTGACTTCAATGTAACGGAGTCGTTCGCTGAACTGTCTCGACTTCGCTCTCAAGAGAAACGGCATGAGTCGGGCATGGGGGCACAATAAAGGTGAGAGCATGGACAGTTTGATGACAGTTTTAATTAAGATTGAATTATTTCATTATGACATCTTGATCTGTAAAAGAAGATTCTTATTTTCAAAGAATATCAGACAATTTGCACAAATTGATGACACTTATCGTGCTCATGTTAGAGAAATTGATATCTTATGTCATGCATGGCGAAACATCACACATGTATATCTAATTCCATGCAACAGATTCTCATTTGCATAGTTATTACTCAGGTCTGCAATGCAGTAGAGTACATTCAGTATACATTCTCGGCTTCCCAGCTTGAGATTCATATTGAATTTGAATAGATATGCTTTCTTTGACACTGAATTGAGAGTTATTTGATTTTTTTTCTTCCTTTTTCCTGATTTGCTGTATTGGCTTGATGTCAGGTATGCCTAATGGAGTTATCTCCCTTGTTCAATAGCCACAGCTTTCTTTCATTTTAAACATTTTATAATCGAGCTTGAATATCTGTGGGTTAAAGTTGATTTTTTAAAATTAACAAGCCTTTTTGATATTACTTAATGCAGAGTTACATTAACATAATGCATTTCTCTGTTTCAGTTTTGAGTCTTCAAGAATTAGCCTGCAGGACGATAGTTTCCCGGACTACCATATATGGCATTGAACAACTTCCTCTCCCACATGCACTGAAATCCCACCTGAAGTCATATGCACTGACGAACAAAACAAGGGCAAGGATGCTTAGTTTTGTGCACAGAGACAAACACAAAAAAGTGAAATATTTGAACCCTTGTGACTCTCCACCAATGAACTGCCGAAAGAGCTGCTGTATCAGCTAGCACTGAACCACGTTCTTTCTGTGTCGTCATTTCATTCAAGAGTTCATTCCCCTGATGACCTTCACCTCATTGCTGTCTCATCGTTGTTGTCATGTGACTGTTTTCATTTGCATCATTTCAAGCTGACTGAGCTTCGTTATGCATCAGTGCTTGCAAGCCAATTTATTTCATCCATGTTCGTGCTACAGCTGTGATTTTTGTTTGCTTTTTTTCAATATTTTTTTTGTACAGTTTTGTATGTGAATGTAAAATGTTCGAAGGGACAGAACATCCGTGTAATATAGTGACTTGATTTGAACCACATGCTCATAAGGACTGTGAAGAATTTGAAATAACGAAACCTTGGTAATAACCTACCTCGATAATCAAGTGCTATAGGAACAGAGTATAATCATGTATGGAACATTGTGTTTTCTTGTGTTGATATGAACAATACAAACATTCAAAGATGACAATCCTTTGTAAAAGTTTCACTGATTTTGAATTAACTGGGTCTTTTCTGTTAATCATTTTGACCCTCGGATCTTGCAGTTCAGCGGAATTAATTTTCGTATTGCTGAACATATGCATGTGTAAATCTGTATTGTGTTTAACTGCTATTGTTCCTGCTTATACAGTGAACACCACGGTCCGCAGAGTAAAGGGAGATAACTTGTGGTGTGAGCTTGGAAACTTGTATTTTCGAAGTTTTTAATGTTAGTGTAGGTGAGACATGAAAGCTTGCCACCTTTGCCACTTTTGTACCAGACCTGTATAGGGCACTTTTGGGTGACTGACATAATGTGGTTGGGGGGATTTTGAAACGAGTCCTCAGAGATAGAAACAATCACCAGCCCACTAACCTTTTTCATTTATGTTAAAGGTGTTCTAAAGTCTAGTAGAATTTTGAACATTTTGTGAATGTTTCTATATGGCAAATCACATTTCCAATTAGTTGACTCTCTAGGTTTAATTCTTTCCCCAAGTCCTATATATCGTGGAAACCGACCTTTCAGTTTTGAATGTTCAGGTTCCTTGACTACGGTTGAAGTAAAGATGAGCATTATGTTTGGATGACTGTCCACTGAAAGTATTACCACTGTGCCTGGACTGTCAGTGTCAGCTATCACCTTTAGCGAAAGGGCTGAAGTAGGTTGTTGAATAAGTAGATTAATATTGTTAAGACCTTGATTCGCTTACTTTGTTTGGCATGTTAGAAGTCAATTCTAAGATTTAGCAAATCTGATGGTACTAGCAATAAATCAACAAGATCTCAAAATGATTTAACTTACACGAACTGAAGACGAGGCTTTTAAAAACAGAAATGATTGGTTCTCATGCAAGGCTAGACAACTCATCAGTGAATGATAGAGTGAGTTAATATTTAACGTCACATTGGCAATGTCTAAGCCTTATCGTGACAAAACAATTTATTCAATAAAGATGAAAACATTTTGAAGAGTAAAACCTGTCGAAGATGGACAGTAATCAGTTGATGTAGGCTGCAGTATATTTTTGGAGAGTAACAACCACCAACAGATATTATATATGCTTTTGTGTGTTGGTTTGCTTGTGCTTGAGAACCATGAAGATTGCTTATTAGCTTGAGAACTAGGAAGAAGACTATATTAGCTTTACTTCATAAGATCCTGAAGGACTCCATGCTCAATAATAGATATATTTTTCAGTATTTTCTCCTTATGCTTGTAGTTTTAGGTGGGTTTTTTTCAATTTGTTGACGAGATTACTTGTTAAAGGTAAGGCTTCCAGATGTGTCATATCTCGAGAGCAGCATATTTCAGAAGCATCTTCTGGTATTGGCACTGTTCATGTGTTTTCGAAGAAAATGTATTATCCCATGGAAAAAGGGAAGGTAGTACCCTCTTTCAACAGACAATATAAAAAATACCCTATTGATACACACTCTTTTCTGAATTGAATTGTGGATAAGATGATTGTGTAAATCACTTTCCTTCAAATGAGACTTGAAAAGAATCCTCTAGCAGTATTTCAAATCGTATGGGTTTAGGTGATATTTTCGAGAAAAACAAAAAAAGAAATGACAGAAGCTGTCACAAGCAGTATGTATCAATACGCAATTGAAGATACATCTGTTGCCTTTTGGAAGCATGGACTCTGCAGCTCTATAACAGTGTCTCCCGGGATTGTTGAAGTAATGAGAGCTGCCTCAGTCATAGTGCTGAGAGAGGTCTATGGAATGGGGATGTGCTGGAGAAGTTTAAGGTAGAATACATTGTCATATTGCAAGGTCATAGTTCATTGTGTCATATTCATTTGCAACTTTAGCTCGTCATTTATGTGGTTGTGTTAAGCTTGTTAGTGGCAATACTTGAAACCGTGTAAGATATTCATTGTATAGTATTGTAGGATTGTGTTGGATATGGTGCAGCAAGCAGAAACATGTCTGATGCACATCAGGCACAGATAATTAGTACTAGAGGTGTAACAATACGGTGAGACTGTGATGCGATAAGTAGCCTGATATTATGGATACTATGGGTGCAATATGAGTCGTATCACCATACAGTACTGTTATGTCAATTTCATATTCTTTCCATTTTTGCTTCTGAATCACAAACCTGAATCTTTTCTTTTCAAATTACAGGTAGCAAAGGTTACATAACGTTGGGGAAACATATAAGCTTAGGGCACTGTGCAGATTCTGCTATTTGTTGACAAGCAGGAAATACACAAGAATCAGCATAAAATGGTTCTTGGGCAGTTTCTATTATTATTCACATGTTATTACATGAAAACAACTTGTACTGAATCATATGTATTGCGATACAGTTGTAAATTGGTAAATATTATATTGATCTTCATATCGCAAAACAATGTTGTTTTTCTGTATTGTTGCACCACTAGTAAGTAAATACTGTATTAGAAGTTATGACCTTTCATAGTAATAACTAGTAACATAGTAAACAACTTTTTGAATTAACAGATTTGAATGGAAATGAAACTATTATTTATGTGAATAAATCTATTGAAAAAAAATAATAGTCAACAGTCAGTGTATAAAATATCAGACCTCCATATACGGAAATTGAATATTGTCATCAGTACATCATTTCGATTTTCAGTTATATCAGTGTATTATGAAAAATCTAAGTGAGATGGTTACTCAAAATTTGAAGTGCAGCTTTGATTTTGTATCTGCCTCGATGAAATGTTTTCCATTGAAGACGTTATGCTGGGGTGGTCTTCATTGACTCAAGATGGATACAATACATCTCCCAAATTGCTCAACTGATGTGTAACTGCCTCTAACTTGGTCTTTGAATGGCATGTTGAAGTGATACACATAAAAGGGGGCATTTATGGGCTTCTGTAATTCGAGGAACCTTTACGTTTCGGAGTATATTCGTACTCCTTCATCTTCACTCCTTCACCTGATGAAGGCGTAAGAATAGACTCCAAAACGTAGTATTCCTAATGTTACAACAGTTGACATCCATGAGTTTCTCATTTGCCTATAACTTCATCTGAATTATGACTCATCAGAATATTTCGCTTGATTAGGCTATGTTAAAAAAGAACACTTTGTTCTGGAGGCAGAATGGTAATTATATATTTGTAAGCATGGTATCTGGCATTGAGAATTTATATGCTTTCCTGCAGAATTTGTTCTCCTACTCCATGATGCTGCTGCAGAGAGTGACTGTAGTGCTATGATTCTGTATGTCCATGTTTTGCTATGGTAAATGGGAGAAGTGTAGCTCTACAGCAGATTTGTGGAACAACGACAGGGGCCTGAGAACTGAAATTTCATTTCTTTTGCCTAATGGTTAATATATTTTGCTTTCTGTAAATCAGTGAATTTTGGTTGCCAGGTGTTTTATGATTGCAAGCTTTATTTCATTCTAGCTGTCTTTTCCTCTGAATAATTTACTCAAGAAGTGGAACAAATCAATTGGTCAGTACCATACAAACGATATTAATGGCTGCTGGTTGATTGTGTGACAGGTTACATATTTTGAAAATTGATTGAAGTGTTATAAGAACAGATTTCATTCAACATAGAGAAAGATTTCGAATACAAGCCCTGTTCATCTGCAATGATGCGTTCATGCTACAGGGTGTATCATGTTTATTGAAGACTTTTTATACTGGTGCTTCTTTTTCATTGTATTAGAATCTCATAATTTGTCTTGTATTCATGACTATGCTAAACCCTGTTGATTTCCTGACTTGATTGCGCTTGACTTATATGTTAATTAAATTAAATCCAAGGGACTTGGGAAGTTTCTATTTCCCTTTCGTCTCAATCTAGCGATTATAGGAACTGCCCAAAGTCCTCAAAATTTGTAAGCTTTGACAATGAAGATGTATATTTTAGAAAACATTCACTGGTTTATGCCGTATGAATTAATCAAGTATAAAGTGAAAGTGTCATTTTAATCTTGAGCGATGTGATTTCTGATTGAAGGCGTTAATCATTGTAAATTAATCTGTGATATTGGTTAGTGACTCCTTGAGACTTGAATACACAATGCTATTGAAAAAGTGGTCAAATGTATCAAATATGTCAGGCATCTACTCGCCAGCACACAATGTCAGCCATCTAACCTACTCAGCCACAGTGGCTTCCACAAAATGGAAGTCAGACAACTAGTAGTCAAGATAACGTACAAAAAGTATCTGGAAGCTGCGGTGGCTTAGTGGGTTATATGGCAGACTTTGTGTGTTGGTGTTAAGGTGCCTGACTCTGAGTGTGTGGGTTCGAATCCCGTATAGGAATCAACTTAACAAAAGTAATATAATCTGTACTTTTTCTGAGAAATCTTTGACACATGAAAAGACTATCTCGATTCAGTTGTACCAGGTTGTGTCGAACTTGGACAAATTCCTGGTTTCTATCAAGGCACATAATTCATTCACATTAAAGAGGACCTATTCATCAAACTGCTGATGTTAAATTATTTTCCCTTTACAGCCTTCACCTGTCCTATTTACTTCCTGTCTTCCTACATTGAAGTGCTGTTACCATCTTCAAAGATTTTTCTCACCAAGGATGTGTCAGTATGAGTTAGCTCCCTTTGACCACATATGACATGAACCGGCCTGGATTTATCTGCTCATGGTATTTAATGTATCCTTCACCAATCTTGGCCTTATATGACTACTGGATATGAACTGTTGATAGAATATGTCCTGAAGATGTCTTGAAGGGATGTCTGTCAGATAAGAAAAGTTAATATGAAATAGTTATTTGGTCATTGGATATACCAGTGTGATCTGAAGTAGATTCAGTTTGATAGTGAAGAAGATATTATATCATGTAGTGTATAAAGTGAATATTGCCAGTATTTTTCAAAGTTATGAGTTAAACTTTGAGCAAGTGCCAATGTTTTTTAGTACTTTTCAGTGCATTGTATTGACAAATTGAAATGAATTTTAATATGCTTTAGTGTTGAGCCTCCAAAAGTTATCAAAAAGTTCTTCCTTTGACTTGATTTTGAATGAAATTTCAGTCTTCAAAATCAAGCAAATATTCTTCAAATCCAAGTTCATTGTGATAAGGTAACTTATTGTGAACAATGACCTTGACCCATGTGTGAACAACATCAGGAATATGCCTTGTTTGGATTCTCATATGAAGTTATTTTCCCTGCTTTGGATTTATGTTTTTGTACAGATGTATAGGTAACTGCTCAAACTGTTTGTAATTGTTGGTTTGATAAGATGTGGTTTCCTTGCGTGATCCCTGACCTTTAGTAGCCATGGTTCAGACACCAGTTGACCACTGTATTATCGACCTTGACCTGTTGTAACCATGGTAACACATCTTGGACTCTGTATTGTCAACTCCGACCTGTATTGACTATGGTTATGTGGCGCAGACATCAACTAGCCTCTGCACTTGCAAATCTGACCTGATCTGTTTTGTAGTCCTGAAAAGTTAACTGTATTTTCAGATATCTGTTTCTTTCATGTTTTCACAGTATTTCTTTACGTCTATCCTTACCGGTCTTCTGATGCACTGGGATGTGGTTGTGTTATGGTTTAAGGAAACTGATTGTAAATCTCTATGAATCATTATGTTTTCATTTTCATTGAAAATATTCCAAAGATTGTAAGTCACTTCTCACGGAACTATATTCAGTAAAGTATTTTGCATACTTACAACCTAATATTTCCTTGCTAATGAAAACACATTAAAAACAAATCAAAGTTTAGTAAAGCAAATTTTTTTAGATCTTTCCAAATGTATTGCCTTTCTCAGATGCAGATGTGGACGGATTGAGTCCAGACCATGTATTATGTTCATTACGTTTGATCATGCTTACCACCACAAATAGTTCTAAGATAAAAATGTTTGATATGATTTACAGTTGTGTATTGTCAGTCCTAAGCCTGCCACATTGACAGTGCATCGGTGGAACCATGCCACAGATTCATTAAGGTCCTTCTCTCATGTTGTCAGGATTGTACAGAGTCTTGCTTAGTTCTCTTGTCACTTTACATTTGCTCACTGAACTATAATCTGGATGTCTGTACATACACAAGAAAGGTATACATTTTGTTATCGTCACATTTACTGTGAAAGTACAGTTACAATCAAAAAACCTTTTCCCATTTGCATGTGAGTGTTTTACAAAGATGAGAATATAATTATTTGTACATATTGGTTCCGTGAGATATGTATTTGTACCATGTATAACAGAGAGCAATAAAACAAGCTCAAGACAAACATGTGTTCATGTTTTCTGTACAGATGTATGGGTGATCTAATTCCTGCTATACCATCACATACAGGAAGTACCGCACACAAAAGTATATGTCAAGATCTTCCAATTCCAAAGAGGAATATGATCACTTGACAGAAACATTGTCTAAGCTTGACCCTTTTGAATGTTTCCCCTCTTTGGATACATTGGATCATTAAGGTTTGTGCCCTAGACAACCTTGCTGTCCAGAATCCACCTGAAACAACCATGATGGCTAGATTTCACCTATGTTTCCATTCGCCAGAATCTACCTGAAACAACAAGGATTGGTGGGATTTCACGGATGAGTATATTGTGTCCAGAATCCACCTCAAACAACGATATGGTTTCATTTCACCTATATAACATCCTCAGTTGTCCAGAATCTATGAAACCATGATTCAGTCTGATAGTACAAGCAGCTGCATTGTCACATACATCAGGCATGGTTTGATTTCACCCATGAGCAAAATATTGTCCAGAATCTACCTGAAACAACGATATTGGTTTGATTTCACCTCATGACTCACCCATTGTCCAGATGTTCCTGAAACAACGATAGGAGATTTGAACACTTGACAGAAACCTCATTAGATTTCACCAGAATCCACCTTTGAATTGGTTAGATTTCACCTATATAACATCCTCTGTTGGATACTGAAACAATCATATTGGCTAGATTGTCACCTTTGACAACCTCATTGTCCAGAATCCACCTGAAACAACGATATTGGCTAGATTTCACCCATTGTCCAGAATCCCCTGAAACAACGATATTGGCTAGATTTGACATCCTCATTGTCCAGAATCCACCTCAAACAACCATATTGGTTAGATTTCACCTATATAACATCCTCATTGTCCAGAATCCCCCTGAAACAACGATATTGGCTAGATTTCACCTTTTGACAACCTCATTGTCCAGAATCCCCCCTGAAACAACGATATTGGCTAGATTTCACCAACGACATCCTCATTGTCCAGAATCCCCCTGAAACAACGACATATGCTTGAAAACAGTATAAGTATCTATACCGAAACGTCACCATTGTACAAAAAAGAAGTTGACCATCCGTAAGTTGTCATTCTTAGATTTCATCTATGACATCCTCAAAGTTCAAACAACCCTCATTGTCCAGAATTCTACTGCAACATCAGTGACTAGATTTCATACACGAAACCTCATTGTCAGTATTCTAATTTTGACAGAGAGGTGGTTTAGATAAAATCTGTGAACATGGCTTTGTATACGTCTAGATTTGACCTCTAACACTCATTAACACTAGCATCGTGACGAAATGTAAACACATATTACACACTTGATATATATGACTCTTCAGTGCACAGCACACAACCTACATTTTACTGAAAACATCTAATGCCATGGAAAGCACATCACAAGCTGATTTTGAACGCATATGTACTCATGGCTCAAGCGGTATTGATCTCAGTGAGTTGGGGCTCTGTATATACATTGTTGAGGAACAATGCCTGTTTCGTCGTCTCCCTGGTAACTGCCTCGCCTTCCGCAACTGAAGTCGATACTGAAAACTAGACTGACATATAGTCCCAGCATAAAGCGATGTGTGAGGTTAATAAAAACAATTCTATAAGGGAAGACATGGACATTAACCAAACACCCGACTCCCTCAGTCTCCCAAAATAAAGGCATAGGCTAATGTATAGTGTTGAACATGTCTAGTTGATCATCTCAGTATATATGAAAGTTCAACTTCAAATAATGTGTTAGGCAGAAATAGACCCTACTTCTGGTCCAAATCGCTCTTCAGCTATACTACCAGCTAGTAGATCATCAGTTTCAATCCTGATTTGGAATAGTGAATGAGCGAGTATGGTTTTATGCCGCTTTTAGCAATATTCCAGCAATCTCACGGCGGGGGACACCAGAAATAGGCTTCACATATTGTACCCATGTGGGAAATCGAACGTGGGTCCTCAGCGTGACGAGCGGACGCATTAACCATTAGGCTACCCCACCGCCCCAATTTGGAATAGTGTTAATGTTAGGTACTGACTTCTGTCTTGTTTATTCTGTTTAGATAATAACTGTTGTATTTCTCTTCACACTCCTAGTCTCTGTTTGTGGTTTACACCATTCCGTCACGTTTCCAGAAACTCATAATGCAGATGGTCGTTTCTGAATGTATTTGGAAGCTAAGGATCTTTGTGTGAGTAGGTTGGGTGTGGTTGTTTACCTGAACCACTTGGAGGTGACAAACCTCGGATCAGTATCTGAATCTGGGATTCGAACCAAAGACCAGCGGATACTGCACTAATAAGTGTAATGTTCTTTGTATACAGTACTATACACATTATCGTTACGAGAATCCCCCGACATCGTATCTCTGAATAATAGGGGTGCGGTAGCCTAGTGGTTAAAGTGTTCGTTCATCATGACGAAGACCCAGGTTCGATTCCCAACATGGGTACAATGTGTGTAGCCCATTTCTGGTGTCCACCGCCATGATAGTGCTGGAATATTGCTAAAAGCGGCGTACAACTAAACTCACTCACTCTGAATAGTAATGAAAAAAAAGCGAAGGCCAGAGAATTTCGTAAAATATTTTATTGCCAAAAATAAGCCATCGGGAGTTGCCTACGAAAATATTTATACATGAATCGGTAGTGATTACCAATAGGCACGACTACGGTGGCATTAAAGCACATGCATTCCTTTGTCGATGTTCCCGTATTTCTTGTCCTCAGTATAATTATGTGTCGTAAATATATCGCGTGGTCTCTCTGTTTACGGACGTAATAGGTAATTGTTCTCGTTGTTCTGGGTTTCCGAAGGCAGATGGGCCTGGAAGAACAGGGCAGTCGTCCTGTAGGAAGAATCCAAAATCCCCACCGAACACACGCTTATTCTCTCCCGACGTTCCCTTACTTCTTTCCATCCGTCTGCTGTGACCAGACCGCATGGTCCCTGTGTCTGGAGCCAATCATAGCTCATTGTCCTCATTGTTCTGGGTTTCGGGTGGCAGCGGAGCCTGGAAAACTGAGGCCACTTGTTTGTGTCTGTCATTTCCCGGCAGTGCCACAAGGGGTGGGGGAGGTCGGGGCAAGGGGTCTGAGTAACCCTCAAGAGGCCTCTCCCAACCCCCATCCCCATAGTACAGATCCACGGCGCTAGGCCGCCGCTGTTTCGCCCCGTCGGCGACATTGACCGAAAGACCTT